CTCTCTCTCTCTCTCTCTCTCTCTCTCTCTCTCTCTCTCTCTCTCTCTCTCTCTCTCTGCCTCCCAGTGCTGCTGGGATCACTGGAAGTGAATGGTTAACACCTCTTCCCCACCCTTTCATGATTCTGGTCAAGATCAATCTTGCCTGCTTGAGGGTGAGGTTGAAGTCTTCTTTGTACAACAGTCCGGCTTAAAAGTGCCTCTCCCCTGTTGCTGTGTATTCCACGCCACCCAGCTGATGGCTGAGCAGTGGAGAAAAATTGTGGCATAAACAGAGGGATGGATCCATTTAGAAATTCCCGTGATCTTTCTCAAACACAAATTCTTTCTCAGAAAAGCTAGATAAGTTTGTGATTTAAGTAGCAGCAAATGCACTCAAAATACCTCCCCCCCACACACACACACTCTTTCTTAAAATGAGCAGGTTCAACTAGTAAAAAGACCAGTGTGCTCCCTCACCCATTTCTTCTCTTTCTGTCTCTACTCTGAGCCTTTCAGCCTGTTGAAAAATTCTGGGTCTCCAAAGCCCATGCTTTAAAAAGTGTAGCTGAGATGAGGTAAGGAATTCTTTCATTTGCTCTGCTCTTCAGGCATCTGGTGACCCATATCTGAGAAGTGGAGCAATGAGGTGGCTTGGATTGGGGCTGGGTAGAATGTGGATTGATCTTCAGCGCATAATCTCAGTGATAGTCAGAAGATCAGTAAGGAACCTTGACTCAGGGCAGTGACCACCACAGGTTGAATTAGGCTGCTGAAATTAGTATTTATTTATTTAGAGAATTCGTATGCCGTCCCATTGCATAGCCTCGGGACGGCTTACATAAAATAAAACATAATACACATAAAATCCAGATCCACCCTGGCTGCAGATTAAAACCTATAAACTGATATTAAAAGTTATTAAAATATTGTTGAAATAAAAAGGTCTTAGCCTGGCGCCGAAAAACAAATAACGACGGCTTGGGAGGTGAGGGAAAAGGGTGTCAACTTGCCTGTTAACCAGGAACGACCCACAGCTCAAAACACAACAGGAAACCAATTCTCTTCCTGGGTTGTTCGTGCTAATTCCTAGTTCAGAGTACACCCATAACCCACAATTCAGCAACACAGATTTTAATAATAGCTCATACTCGGCCCATACACTAACTTGTTATGTGTGTGAACCGGGCTGCTGCTTTGCACCTAGTTGGTGTACCTCAGTGTCCTACATCTCACAAGACTCAGAGCTCTCTGGTCAAGGCTTAGATGGGCAATTCTATAGAGAAGTTTATTAGTGGTTAGTAAACAACTTGGCTGAATTAAACCTCCATGTTCGGAAGCAGAATACTGCAAAATATTGGATGCTGTACAGAAACAATGCAAGATGGCTAGTCACTGGCATACTTTGCTATCTTTGAATACAATGATTTAGTTTCAGGAAGTTATAGGATGCTGGAGGGGTTCAGTCTCTGTAAATTTGTTTGTGAACTGACCTGATCCTTACCTCCCAGACTAATGCACAATTCTGAACTTTTCCAATGTTGCAAATTAAGACTAAATTCCCAAAGACTGTCCCAGTGAGTTTTAAATTCATATTCTGGGAGACTGTCATTGAGGAATACATGTTTTAAGGGGGAAATACTTTAAAAATATAAATTTGGCTATGTATTTCGTTATGAATTTTTGTTTAACCCCTTTTAACCCCCCTCCCCCCCAGAAATCTCAGATTACAGCAGAAATGGACATAACTGGTGTATGGAAGAACACATTCAAGGGTGACACAGATGAGAAATGGATGAATTCAGCCATCCCAACCTACAGGTGTACTCCCAGGCTTTGAAAGAGATCTTAAAAACTTTCTGAAAAACATAAAGGACAGTTTTCCCAGAACACGGCTGTCCCCATGATCACAGTATGTTGGTCTTAGCTGATTTCTCCACAGTCCTATACTGGCTTAAAAAAAAGAAGTTTGTGTGGTGGAGCAATTGCAGTTGGCCTCTGTGTGGAAGGTGTAGTAAAGAACATTCCAGAAGGTTTAGGTTTTTGTCGTGTGTGCTCCTTTCTTTCTAGACGGTCAACATTTCAAGACCAGTAATTTCTTCAGCTGCTTCCTATGTATTGTGAACTGTACTTGAACTATGTCACGAACCAAGTTTCCCATTCTGAATATGCCAGAATAAATGACTTAGACAAATAGTCTGTGTAGGTACCAGTACAAGAAGTCTCAGATGGTATTCTGGGAAGCAACTGGTTTCTTTTAAATGTATCTTGAGATTCTTAATGTGAAGGCCAATTATGGTAGATACGTTTCCCTGAAAGTAACATGCTTGTGACTCAAATGTTGCTTGGATTGTAGTAAGTATTTCTTACATTTGTATCCTAAATTTCTTCCATCACAGAACTCAAGGTTGACTATATGCATTTCCCATTATATTCTAGGTCACTCACTCAATTCATACAGGTCAGGATAATGTTTGGGTGAATTGGTGCATTGTGTTACAGAATCCACAAAAACTTAAAATGTTCTGCAGCAGAGAAGTAAATATGGAGTGTATTCTCTGAAAATTGAAAAACTCTTGACCCAGTTTCTTTTAAAATGAAAAATCAAGATTGTAATACCAGTTTATTCAAAGGTGGTTTTGGGCAAGTTGCAGTCTGTCTCCATTACCCCTCCCTGTTAGACTAACAGAATGCTTTTGATGGGATTCAGATTCCATTAATGTCAGTAAAACCTACTTCACGGTAATATGTGTTAAGTTCAAAGTACAAGAAATTCTCTGTGTTGCTTGTACTGACTCATAAATTACTAACCTAGATTAAAAAAATTGTCTCTAATAGAAACCGAGACTATTATAACAAGCAGCACTGCTATTGCTTGAAGTCCCAAATATAAAAATAGCATTTATGGTTCCATCTGAGTAAATGTACATTTGCCAGATATGACATGGCCTTCAAATTAATTTCAAACATCATATTCCTAACGTAATAACTATCCTGCGTGTATCTGTCTCTGCCTTGGTTGCATTTTTTAAAAAAAAAAGCATTTAAATGCAACAGTCTCATTTAATTTTCCATCTAACTCCCTTGAAATATCCTTTCAGGTAAAAAGTGTTATTATACATTTAGTACATTTGAATTGACAAGCTGTGTGTAAATCACAATAATTGCTTTCTGCACCTTGAGATATTCTCACTGAAGGTTGTACGTATCGTAGCATTTGGGAATAAACTTGGGATAGTGGCAAACACATTTGGAAGGTGGATTTGCTTTATGACCAGAAGGCCATATTGTATCTCCTGTCATTGGGGTTGGACGATTGCTCTTAAGCAAGGATTTTCAATGGTAGATTTATCTAGGGAATTTTAAGGATGTTGTCTTAACTTCTGAAAGGGTTTTGGAAAGATAATTGAGACTGGTCAGTCAGATACCTAGACATTAGTTGCAGGCATTTAGGAATCTTGGGTCATTTTTGAAACATAATGTGTGAGTGTAGCACCTACTCACTGGAAGCGTCTCTAGGTAAGCCTGTAAGTTTTGCACAACCTGTTGTCCTGAGTTGTCTAGTAAGATGACCAAAATTTGACTATTTATAACACTTTACTGATAGATGTGGCTTCATCAAACTGACAGCAACTCACAAAACATCCGTAGTAGCATATATTCCAGCCATTCTGAGGCACCATTTAGACTATTGCTGATAATGTGTAACAAGGTCATCTTCTCAGTGCTTCCTCTCAATTTTCTCAAAACATTTTCCAGGATTTAGAGGTGAGAGTAAGAACTTGAGGGTGGAAATTGTTCTCCTTGATTTTGAGTCAGCTTTTCTAAGTTTAGAGTCGTATTTGGTTTTTTGTTTTTTGTTTTATACGAATGCCATGGAAAACCCAATAAGCAGTCTTGATTTAAAACGGCAACAAGAACAACACTGTATTTGTTTAACACATTCTCTACTTGTGGCCTCTGTGACATTGGAACTAGATAGCTGCCCAGTGCAATTTCAGTGCATCTGAAGTTTCTTAATACCAGAGGTTCTGCTCAATGATTGATATTTTTGCTTGGTTTTTAACAGGGCCTCAGAAAATGACGGAATACAAGCTGGTCGTTGTTGGAGCTGGTGGCGTAGGCAAGAGCGCGTTGACAATACAGCTTATTCAGAATCATTTTGTAGATGAATATGATCCTACAATAGAGGTAAATGACTTCCTACGAAATCTCAGTTGATACCCAGAAACTGAAGCAAGCCAATTCTTAAGTGTTCACAGCAATTTCAAAACAGTTGGGTTCTTTAAAAAAAGAAATGGGCCAGTCTGTATCAGCCTTTCTTAACCTGGTTCCTTCAGATGCTTTGGACTTTAAATCCTATCAGCCCCAGCCAGCATGGCCAGTGATCAGGAATGTTGAGTTGTAGTCCAGAATACCTGGAAGACATCAGGTGGGCAATAGCTGGTCTATATATCCTGCAGATATCAAAAATATTGTTGACCCAAATTAATGGGGGTGGGGTCCAAGAAAGGAAGACAATGCAAGGGCAACTGGATAAGGTTGGGAAAGAGCAGACTGGTATTCCTACGACTGTTACTTGAAGTCTCAAATTCCAGCTTTCCTTCCTCAGTCTCTTTTGCAATACCTGATAAATACAATAACCACCGATCCAAAACACAGCTTCTTGGTATTTCCTTGAAGCCTGCTTTCTGTCACCAGGCCAATCGACTTCTGGATCTGTCTGGATTTGCAGTGAGGTGTAGATCCCATGACTGCTCTTGTGGATATTCGTGAGGAAGTGTACGGACATTGCCAGTGAAGCTCTCTGGCCTTGAATGAATTTAGATTGCCACAGAAGAAGAATGCTCCTTGTGCCCTGGTATTGTCCCGTAGCATTGGGTCTTGTGTGTCTTCCAAGCAGATGATAAGAGAAAGTATTAAGCAATGCTCCAAGGAAAGAAAACTGCACGGAGTGTGGGAGAGAGAGGCTTTCCTCAGTCTTATTGTAGACTGTTGATGCCCCATTAGGCACGGATGGTGGGTGCAGTCTGGTAAAAATCACAGGATGAACTGGGCTTTTTCAGTGGCTCGTTTGCAGAAAAATGGGCTACAGCCTGCAGTCTTGTGACTGTGCTAAAGATACTTGTGAAAATCCTTACAGCACCTTCTGTGAATAGGGCCCCAGCTTCTGGGGTCATTATATGTTTACTGCAATTTGAATCTGACCCATAACAAATGTGGTCAAGGTGGATTACAGCCGTGCTCATCCGTAAGTAGCTGCCCAAACATGTGGGTGGAACCATGGGAAGCGATGGTTCTCTCCTTGGCTGTCCTTGCTGTGCGGAGCAACTCCCCCATTCCAAGTGCCTCCACGGTGCTTTCCTCACTATCACACACACAATGCGCAAATGTCCACATTTCTCGGCTTCTTGCAAAGCTTTTTGTGTTGCTGGCTCTCTGCTCTGTGTCACATGGACTTCTGTCTAGGTGATTTCTGGGTAAAGGCATAGAAATGTTATAATAATAATAATAATAATAATAATAATAATAATAATGTGTGTGTGCTTCATTCACATTTTCACACCAGCCACCTAGCTCTCGAGTGGCGGCAGTAGATCCAGGAGCACGCCTAAGCTGCACACCTCGTCTTTCAGAGGGACTGCAACCCTTGGTTATGAAAGAGACACTGCTTTGGTTGCCATGGTGGATGATGTGGGTGAAAAACTGGACAGGGGGAGTGTGGCCTTGTGTATTCTGTTGGACTTCTTGGTGGTTTTTGATACCATTGACCATTGTATCTTTCTAAGGCTGAGATAGTCCTAGATCCGTGCCTGATGTTGGCAAACGACTGGATAGGAGTGCATAAATGGAAGCTTAATCCAGGAAAGACAGAGATGTCTGATCTGACCAGTCCTGCATGAGTTTGGACCACTGCACAAACCGTACATGAGGCTGCCTTTGAAAACCGCTTGGAAACGTCAGCTGGGCCAGAATGCTGGGCTGTTAACCAGTTGCATTAGGCATGTGCCACATTTATTTTCTTATTTTTTTATTAAAACATTTCTATGCCGCCCCTTGCCGAAGCCTCCTGGCTTGCACTGGCCTGCTTCTGCATACAATTTGAAATGCTGGTGGTAGCCCGAGGTGGCTGGGAGCAGGTTTCCTGAAATACCTTCTCCCAGGGCAAGGCTGCCCAGGTTGAAAGATCTTTGGAGGAGGTTCTTTGCTTGGTAGTGCTGGCATCAGAAGTGTGTCTCATGGGGGGGGGGGTGCTTTTTGCCAGGGGAGACTGGGTGGGTTCCCTCTCTGTTATTTTCCCTGCTAGGCAAGCACCGGCCCTCAGGCATGTAAGCTGGCCTGTCGCTGAAGAAGGAATTAATTGATCGGTTCTGTTCGTGCCTTTTATTGTTGCCTTTTCAATGATGTTTTGGAACGTGTTCGCTTTTATGTTGTGCTTCCATTAAGGTTTTGTATTTGATCTAGATGTTATTGTTTGCAGCCTTGATGCCCTCTTTGTTTGGCAGATAAAGGGGTCATAAATTAAATGAACAAACAAAGATGAAATTCCATTCTAAGAATGAGAAACGTCATGTTAAATGTTCCCATGGAAGCTTAAAGCAGGGCACCAGGGAAGCATGTCCAAACTAGGCAAGCTTCAAAACATCGCTTGAAGCCAGCCCTGGGGAGGCATTTCCATGCATGAGAAGCACCTGCCACACGTGACTTTCTACATGCACTTCTTTATGGGATCAGAGAACTTAGCTAGTACAGGTGCAGTCCAAGTCGGATGCCCATCAGCTTCCAGCTAGAAGGATTGCAGGCATCCTTTGCCGGGCAGGGGGACTCATCCTGCTGTGCAAAACACTCAAGACATTTGCTTTTGGCTCTCTAAGTATCATGCGTCAGAGTGCAAGTGCTCAAGGTTGAGGAAGCACCAAGAGGTCTCATCCTGTAGTGGGGTGGTCTCCTGCCCTCCCACCCTGGGAACACCCACCCAGCCCTTTCCCTGAGGTTGCATTTCCTGCCACCAAGAAAGGGATGGCGTGGTTCTTTCCATGTCGGCTGCAGGAGAAAGACTGTTCCATGCCTGGAGGCCCCATTCTGATCTTGGAGCGAGTTGGGCGTGAACAAGGTGGTTATTTGTGGTACGCTTTCCACAGAGCCCGGGGACAGGCAGGGTTTGGAAGAGAAGGGAGGGGACAGAGGCAAGGAGGAAGGCAACCCCCCGCCCAGTCTGGCTCCAGACCCATGACATGGCATCACAACGGAAGAGCTATCTGGTTAGAGGCCGGCACAGCTGCTGTCCAGGTGCTTCACTCCCTTCATATGGTTCTTTATCTTCCATCAGGACTTCACCTGAGCAGGCCTGCGTAAAGCAGGACAGGTGACCCCAGTGCCGTGTAGCCTATTTTATCATCGCGTTTTCCTGCATTTGAAGAAAAGACTTAAGAGTATCTGTTGTGCCTGAAACTAAATAATGAGTAGGCCTGGTTAGTTGAGGTGAGGTGCATTTCTATTTAAATTATAGCTGTTATTTCAAAGTGTGCACCACTTCATGTGTGTTAGCATAGGCAAACCTATGGGACTCCGTGTGCTCTTTGTAGTCCCGGATGATCTTTGCCTGCTTTGCACAATTTTATAAAAGGCCTTTCATGCAGCTGGCAGGTGAGCAAAAGAATTGGGCGTATTGGCGGGTGAAGAAGCTGCACTCTGAAGGCTGAGAGGAGGCGGCTGGGAAATTGCCATGCAGCTAGGCTTTTATAAAACGGAGCTCGGAATACAAATAAACGGAGAAAGAGGGGATTTTTACTTACTGGCGATGTTTGTGTGCTGCACCACTTGGAGGCAGATCGCAGGGCAGTAAAGAGCTAAAAAACAGATAAAAGAATAAAGGCAGGTAACAGTAAAACCACAGCCGATCGGGGGTTGAACCAAGATGTCTTCCACAGGGGCCGAAAAGGACAAAGTGGTGCCTGCCTCACCTCTGGAGGCAGGAAAAGAACAAAGTGGTGCAATTCCTGGCCAGACGTGGGGCCACCACGCTGAAGGCCCTTCTCCTGGTGGACTCGGGTCGGGGGGTCAGCACGTGTAGGAGCACCAGGGGAATGGACATTGAGGTCCTCAGAAACCGGGTAGGTTGGAAAGGGGGAAGGTGCTCCCTTAGGCATGTGGATCCCAAGTTGCACAGTGCTTTGCACACTAGTAATACAACTTTACATCTGTCCTACTGGCGGGTGGGTATCCATGGCAAAGGAGCTGCATGCTGGAAAGTGTAGTGGGGGAGCCAGTGTGGCGTAGAGGTTAAGAGCGTGGGACTGGGACTCGGGCGACCTGGGTTCGAGTCCCCGCTCGGCCATGGAGCCAACTGGGGGACTTTGGGCCAGTCACAGACTCTCAGCCCAACCTACCTCACAGGGTTGTTGTTGTGGGGATAAGATGGAGGAGGAGAATGATGTCAGCTGCCTTGAGCCCTTTGTAGGAAAAAGGCAGGATATAAATCAGAAAATAAATAAATAAAAGGGGCAGCCTCAGTCAGAGGCCTCAGAGACAAAAGCTGGCTTCTAGGCCAGAGCAGCAGAGCCCACCCACGGTGGCCAGAGGCTTCGGAGCCGTTCGTTGGTGCAAAGGGCACCGCTGCTGCCCCAGCAGACCTTTGCATTTGGGAGTGGAGTGTGCATTCGCACAGAAGAGGGTGCTTTTATATCTGGCAATTGGGTATTGGCGGGCGAAGGGGTCAATAGCCAGCAATAAACTGATCCTCCTTCCCGCCACCCAGCGTAGTTGCCGTCACATCATCTTAGGGCAATGAGTTCGAAGGCAGATCCTGTGGTTGATACTGATATATTTACAAGGCCTGCTAACCAGACTTGTGTCTGTTTGCCTTGAGATAAAGAAAAGACCAGGGCGTGGACAAGCGCAGTCGTGCCAATCTTTCCTTCTGTCAGATACCACATATTATGTGATCTTATGTGAGCTGGGAGATTAAGCCGTGTGATCTTGAAACCCTAATCGTAGGCCTTTTAACTGATCTTTTTACTTGCCCTTCCTTGTAAGGGGCTACATGGAGAGTGTCGGTGTGAAATCAATTTGCAATCTAAGAAGGTGACAGTGCTTGGCATCAAACAGAGAGCTTTCTCCCGATCAAGGCCCTCTAGGGTTCTCCTTTCCTTTCATCTGCATCCCACTGATTTTTCAAGGTGTTTAAGGCA